ATCCATAAACAGTGCCCTACAATTACACTAAAAAAAATCAGCAAATAAATTTTAGTAAAAACATCAAAGAAATACCAGTAAATTTATCAACCCACAATCACACCAAAAAATATCAAGAAATAAATATTAGCAAAAACACTAACGAAATACCTACAAAAGTATAAAAAAAATACCAATAAATTTATCAGATAATGTGAGCATCCATAAAATCTTATACCAAAATTGTTATTTGTTCATGAAGTCCACCTAGCTACCTTCATATTGTAGTAATAGAAAATGAGTTCTCCTTCAAAGTCCCATTCTATTGGGTAACTAGTTGAAATTAACTTATGCGTGTTTATATCATAAGACATTTTTTTAAAAATCCTACAATTTTAATATTTTAAAAAATAATTTTAAAGAAAATTAGAGCATGAGAAAAACCTTAAATTTATATCAATATTGAATTTACACTGCTAGATAAACTGATATTTGAAAAAGACATTGTGTTTAGATGTTATTTCAACAAAAAAATTTCTCACTTTATAGTGAAAAATGAGAAAAAACGAAGAGAAAACCCTAAGCTGAAGCTAGCTTACATTATTACAAATAGAAAAGATAAAGAAAAGCACTAAAAAAAAAATAGAATAAGCTTATAAAAAATCAAAATCTTAGCTAGGCTGTCATTACACATGGATAAGTTAATTCCACATCATATTCCATGTTATGTTTATTTGTGATGGCTTTTACACATGGGCAATTTAACGAGTGTATCATGCACATCACTTTTACCATTGAAATAAATCTTACATTATTATAAATTGATAACGTTTTATCCTTATTTATATGAATTAAAACATTTGGTCCTAAATTGAGCAACCATCCAAACATTTGATCATGATTTAAGCATTTAGCCATTGAAATTCATAGTCTGTTTGTTTGAATTTTTAGGTTGTGGCATGTGTGAAATTATGGCTAAGGTAGTGATGAGTTAGGTTTGTGTGTTCTTCTTCTCTGGAGGTAGAAGAAGCCTTTGCCTTTTTATAGTTCAATTACTTGACAATGGTTTCCTAACCAAGTGTGATTAAGTCAGGCTCTTTTGAAACTTGTGGTGGGGTTATAGTTTATGGCATCTGCTTGAGAGCTTGTATTTGTTCTGTCAGGGCTTGAAATTATTTCATAGTCAGTCTTGCTTAGAGTTGAGCTAGGCAAACAGAATGCTGGCTAAAATGAGTTTCTGTTCCAGCCAGACGGTTGCCTTTCATTTTTTTAAGGTTTTTTTTTCTTGGTGGCATTATTTTATGGTCTGCTAATATGATATGTCCCTTGCTTACGAGCCAAACATTGGTGTCAAGCTCTGACTTGAGGGTATTCTTGTAAATGCAGAAGAAAATGATGATTAGAGGCAAAGGCAGAGGATTTTTTTATGTTTGTACTTTGATGCACAAGTCAATAAAGATCATATCAGCAAAAAAGTAAGAACGAGAAAAGAAATGAATGGGATAAACTAGCTCTATGATGCCTAAGTCTTCATATTTATAGATAGCTGAGGGGGAATATAAGGGTATAATTAGGATGAGGCCGAGTTGAAATGGCACTGATCATGTTAGGTCGACCTGACATATTAGGTCTGTACAAATGATAAAGATCTCCTAATTGTTTACTAAAGGTTTTGAGAGAGAAAAAGATTATTGTATCCTTTTAACCGTCAAATGCCCCTATACAAATAGTGTAGATTATTTTAACTATGGTTATTTTGAGTTAGGTTTGAAGTAGAAATGTTGGGGTCTCAAATGCTTGACATACACTTCTCTGATAAATCGTAGAAAGGATATAGCCTCAGCATGGATTATGTGTGATTGTCTTTGTGCTTGGACAAGTTAGCTTTTGCATTTACCTAACTCTATTTGTTAGATATTGAGCGTAAATCTTAAATTGATTGTTAGTTTCGTCAAAGTTCTTTGGATTGTGAAATAGTTATGATATGTATCATACAATAACTGACAATACTATGAAGTATTTGACTTTAGTTCATTGGATAGGACTAGGGGTTTAATCGATCGAGTTCGAGCCAGTGCAGTATTGAGCTCGAGCTTGAGCTCGATTCGAAATTTGAGGCTCGAACTCGATCAAGTTTTATTTTTTTAGCTCGAGCTCAATTAAAGATAGAAATCAAGCTACTCAAACTTGAGCATGAGTTCGAGATATTTTATAAATTAAAATAATAAGAATGTATTTAAATATAAAAACGTGATTAGACTCGCAAGCTACTCGAGCTGGATATAAAAATGCTCAAACTCGGCTTAATCGATAAGTCAAGTTATTCGAGCTCAAGCTCGACTCGATAATAATCAAGTCGAATTCGAGTTTTATTCGAATCGAACCTGAATAACTTGCAGGTACTAATATATCATTTACACTCATAGATGGGACAACAAACATGTTTAAAGTATAGGCTTGGTGGTCAGAGTGGGGGAGATGAGCGGTTTATGCGATGGTCTTGGTCACCGGTAGGTTTGGTTAGGTTTTTGAAAGCCTAAGTTCATCCCATCATGCTTCAGGTTGGGATAAATGGGTCTTATTTTAAGATAAAAGTTACGCAGCGATATTAATTTTATTCAAATTTAAGATAAATTTGATTTTTTATTTTAATGGGATGAAGATTATTGGTAGTAAATTTTAAAGATAAAGATAAAAATAGATATATAGGTAGTATCTCTTGCTTTGTTGCCATTCAATAATAAAAGCAATTATAAACATTAAAGCATATTTGTACATATCTATTTTATTAATTTGAAAGAATTAAAATGAGTTGAGAATTTTGTAGCACAAATCAACAAATTCATAATCAAATTCTTTCAATACCTTTCAAATTTATAAGCTAGGTCTTTTAACTAATGGGTTGTGACAAAAGAAATTGTAAATTAAGGAGTATATTTATCAATAAATCATAAGAGTTTAAATAAAATGATAAAAAAATACTTACAAATCGATGAATTTTTTTTAGAAAAGCAAATCTAGATGAAAACTGAAGAACAAAAAAATGGGTAATTTTTTTTTTTAAGGTTTTCTTATGAAAACTTTGAAAGATCAACAACATTAAATAGATTGATAGAAAAATGATTAGATAAAGAAGAGGAAGAGATTTCATCATTTTTGGATTTAATGAATTAAACTTTTTAATTCCTTTTCATTCAATGAATGGATTAATTATGATAATGGGGTGAAGAAACCGATTATTACTAGAATTAAATATTTGCTGTTTTGAATATTCTCTTGGATAATTGTAGAGTTTTAATTTGCAAGTTGAAAGGTCAAACTGGTTTGTAGAGTTATACGGTTAAATAAATAGTAAGATTTGTATATATATTTAATAATATATATACCATATATATATTTATCTCGTACTCATATCATATATATTTTTATATATTTAATAAATTATTTTTTATGTAATAATATAAATTTTATTTTAGATTAATTATAACTAATATATTTGTATTTAAAATTATATATTTATAAAAAAAATTACATAAATATATAAGATAAAAATAAAAATAAAAAAAATAATTTTATTTTTTTAATTTTTAAAAAATTTATAAACATAAAAATTATTTATACTTATTAAATATTTACGAGAATAAAGATAAAAATAAATTTAAAATATCCATTAAATAAATATACATGTATATATATATATATATATCAATATAAAAAAAAACAAAAATAAAAATATAAAATACTCTACCATTCTATATCCTAGCCATTTACATTCCTATTTAGTCTCGGCAGCCCAAACTTATAGCAATCGTTGCTTAAACCTTTAATAAATTTTTTAAATAGGATCCTGAACTGGTAGTGCACATAATTATCTAGGGTTTCGTTAATCATTTTTTTGGATAAATGTTATTTTCAATCTATAATTTATGTGAAAACAAAATGCGCTAGCTTATAACACCTCCAAAAGTTCCGATGATAATTTTTTATATTTTGAATATTTAGAATTGAAAAATATTAAGCGGCACCAAATTTATAACCACTCAATGATTTAAATAAATGAAGAGCAATCAACTTAAAAAAAAAAATTAATCATCGATTTTAATATATTTAAGAGACGAGATTAAATCTTTTTTTTTTTTCATTTGTCTCTTTTATATTTGAGATTTACTGAAATAAATTATTTTAAAAATATAAATTTTTTTAATTTTATACTAATTAATATAATTTCATCATCTCTTAAATTTAAAATATAATTAAATTAAATTAATTCATTCAGCATTTCCTTACAAATCTCTAAACAACATTATTCTTTATATTAAAAAATAGCATGTTGAAATGGATTTAGTAAAATCTATTTATAGGTCGAGTTAGGTTGGATGCAGTCGTGATTGATCATCCCAAAGTTTTATTCAAAACTTAATTTGGAATATTGAGATCATAGGACTCGCAATATTTTAAAAATATACTAAGATTTTTAAAATATAAATTTTTATTATTTTTAAATATATTTTAAAATTAAAATTGAACAAAAAAAATAAATTTTATTAATAAAATAAATTTTGGGCAGCCTCCAAACTCCAATACTCAAGTTTAGGATTCAACTTGAGTCAAATTAAATTCATGAGTAGACGGATAACTTGATTCCTGAATAGGTCTATATTTATTTATTTTATCTATTTAATGTTATCGGTAGTTGTATTAAAAAATATTTTCAACATAAATTAATATTAAAATTAAAAGTTTTACTTTTCAAATAAAAAATGAAAATATTTATTTTTTATAATTTTCCAAACATATAAAAATATTACTAGTCTTCTATTTTGAGATTAAATATAGCCTTTTAATTTCTCCCAATAATATATGTACTTTTTTTATAAAAAATAGAACTCCTAATTGGAGACCATTGGCTACTAATTACACCATAATTCTGCCTTTGGCATGTTTTCCTGGTCCGTCTTTTATGAGTACTACAAGTACGATTAGGAGAGAGAGTTTTCCCTTTTTATATAAATATCACTTGCATGAGGCTGTTCCTTCCAGCTTATTCGTTTCTCTTTTCAGAAATTGGAATGGCTACCTCGCTTCCTTCCCAACTTCCCGTCCTCATTACCTTCCTCTTTCTTCTTCTTCTTTCACCTTCATGCTTTGCCGGTATTCTCCGGACTTGCCAGTTTGATGCCATCTATCAGCTCGGGGATTCCATTTCGGACACTGGAAATTTGATCCGAGAGGACCCTTTATCTCCGTTTGCTAGACCTCCCTACAGTGAAACCTTCTTCGGGAATGCAACAGGGAGATGCTCCAATGGCTTACTAATGATCGATTATCTAGGTAATTTCTTTTTTTTTTTTTTCCTTCTTCTTTTCGGCTCTGATTTGATATAAAACACTACATCCATCGTAATTGGTTTCTACATATGACATAAAAATTATAAACGTTTTGAAATAAGGTAAAGAATCAACAACGTGATCAACTGACAATGTTATTTAGAAAAGTAGATTTCCAGCTCAATGTGATTCTTCCCTTTTTTTAACTTTATTTGATTCTTCACTATGTTACTTTGTGAGGGGCACTGTCACATACAAACGTTACTTTCATGAAATTCAATTGCTCTTTACGTAGTTCCAGTTTTGCCAGTCTTTAGTTAGTGGAATGTGAAAAGAACATACTTCTATTTCTTGGTTGATCAGCTACTTGAGTAGCATAATTAAAAGCGTTTAACTTTCAAAAAAGTGACCCAAAAGGTTATGATATTTGCTTAATTTCCAGGACAATCACCTTAATAATTATGGTTGTCTATATGTCTCTAGCTATCTTTTTGCTAAAGATTGGAGCTCGAATGGAGGGCTCCCACCATACCGAAAAATGCGTTTTATGGTTGGACCCTAATCGACTCTCAAATTGACTGTAAAACTAGGATTTGTTGTTTATGTAATAAACGTAATTGCCTAGTATTTTGACAGCTCTATCTTCTGGAATCCGCTTCCTTGAGCCCTACCTAAACACGGATGCACTATTTACTCGTGGTCGTGGGGTGAATTTCGCGGTTGCTGGCTCTACTGCTTTGCCTGTGGAAATTCTAGCTGAGAATAAAGTTCTAGCTCCTGTTACTAACACTTCTCTTAGTAGGCAGCTTGACTGGATGTTTACCTATTTCAATGGTATATGCCACGATGATGAAGGTTAGCACCACTTTCACAATAATATGCAAATAATTGTCCTGATAAAAATATACATGTTTGGAACTAGTTGATTATTAATACTAACAATGATGCATTATACTTTTGTTCGATAGATTGTTTCAAGAAACTTAAAACAGCTCTTTTCATGGTTGGGGAGATCGGAGGGAATGATTATAATTATGCCTTGTTTCAAGGCAAATCTTTCGGGGAAGTTAGATCCATGACACCTATGGTTATTCAAGCCATAAAAGATGCTGTGACAGTAATTTTTTTTTTTTTGGAAAAGACAATGATCATCTATATATCTTTTCTCTCATCAACTTGTCTAATTATTTCAATACCAATCACACTTTCTTTTTGTCATAGAGAGTCGTTGGTTATGGCGCTACACGAGTGGTTGTCCCCGGAAATTTTCCTGTAGGTTGTTTGCCAATCTACCTCACAGGATTCCAATCCAATGATTCCAATGCTTATGACAAATATCATTGTCTCAAGGGCTTGAACAATCTGGCAATCCATCATAATAACCTTCTCAAACAAGCCATTGAAGAGTTGAGAAAAGAACTCAATGTGATCATTGTTTATGGTGACTACTACAATGCTTACCTGAAGCTTTTGAGCAGAGTTAAATTACTTGGTAGGTTTTTTTCAACCATTAATTAAATACATGAGAATTGATTCTACTAGAATTATCCTGATTTAGTAACGTATACTTCTGTTCTAATTGAGAACAGGTTTTGACACCAAATCAACACAAAAAGCATGCTGTGGGATTGGAGGTGATTACAACTTCAAACTTGACACAATGTGTGGAGCCCCTGGTGTGCAAGTATGTCCAAATCCTGATCAATATATAAGCTGGGATGGAGTTAATTTGACACAGAGAGCTTACAAGTTTATGACAGGATGGCTCATTCGTCACATCTATTCGAAACTTCAATGTGGAGCTTGAGTTAGCTTCTTTTGTTTTAGTATTAGTTAATATGTATGGTACATATTCAACCCAATTTCCAAATTTCTCAAGTGAGCTAAGATACCCAGAAGTCATATTGTCATTGCTTTTCCTTTCCTTTTTTTATTTAAAACATTTATAGAATTCAATATAATTAATAGTAATAGGACAAATCGTGTTGGATTGAACCATAAAAGTGATCATCAATTTTCTTTTTATTCTCAGACACTTAATTGATATATAAAAAAAAAAAGGAAACCCAAATTAGTTACAAATCTTAAAATTTAGTACGTAAAAAAAATGAATAAAATAAATTTAACTTAACAAAGTAATAAATGGATAAAAATAATTAGTTACAAAAATTTTTAGTTGAAAATGATTATTAGAGTTTTATTTATTATAATACTTATTTTATTAAAATAAGTTATAATTATAAAAATATATATTTATAAAAATAATTTTTAAGACAGAATATTATATGGTTCACATGTAAATTACACACTAAATAATTAAAATCATGTATAAGGCCTAAGTTTAGTCCATCAACCTTCAGGTTTTAGATTTATGCGCCTCACTCGAGCGCACACATGCAAAAAATGAGACTATAAGTCCCAACTTCACATTGTTCTGGGTTCAAACCCAGCTCATAAATGAAACAAAATCTTCTGCTACCATTGAATTTCTTGTATAATTTTTTTTAATAATATGGTCATAACTATCTCTAAGTTTTGTTTAGATCTAATTTTCACCTTTACATTCCTATAAGTGCATTCTCACATATCTACGTGATGTGTTAGGGGTATTTTTTTTATCTAAAAGATAAACTTATGGTATTTTTTATATTTAAATTAATCTGATATATATAATATCACGTTAATTAGATTATTTCACTGTCTTATCTCTCAAATTCTTCACTTTTTGTTTATAAATAGAACCACCTAGATATTATCTATCTCATTTAATTTTTTTTATATTTTTTTATTTTATTCTCTTTTCGACTTCTGACTTGAACGTCGGATTACAAGGCAGTAAATACTCATTTCTTTTACTAATAACTACTCTCTTTTTTTTTTTTGTAATTTTACGATTTTAGCTCGAAACTAGATACAAACATGATGCATTCAAAATTTTATTCTTTGAGTGATTTTTTATATAGTTTAGCTTATCTATTTATATACACTAAGTGTTTAAACAAAACAAAATAAATTCTGTAACCTTGATAAACTCTAATGCAAATTTTTTTAATGATGAATTTTTTTAATTGATCAGCAAATTTTCCAAAATTTTCAACTGAGATGAATGCCCTGAAAAGTTAGGTGAATTGAGCAGGGCTTGATTTGCCTATATTTCATTTTGTTAAACTTTTTCCTTTTGATTTGTTTTTACAATTACTAGTCGTAATAAAAAGAAGAGCGCCAACTTTACTAGTGAACTGTAATTTCTATGTCGTTATTCATTTACAACTGATAAAACAGTATAGGAAACCGAAATTATTAATCCATCCATATAATACAACGGAGGCTTTTTCCTTCAAGCAGTAATTCAAAAGCTTTGTTAATATCCTTGAAACTCACTTCATGCGATATGAATCCATCTAGATTAAGCTCCTGTGAAATAGAAAGAAAATTAACAGCAATTTGTCAACTTATTTATAAACACAGCAAGAAATTTAGAGGCTAAAGCATGAATTTTAACCTTGTGTAGATATTTTTCAGCGAGGAGGGGAACGTCAGATTTGGGTTTAAATCCTCCAAAGAAAGAGCCAGTAACACTTCTGCCTCTTAAAAGAAAATATGTGTTCAGAGCTAATGGTGTGCCATGCATCTCCACTCCCAATATCACTGTCTTGCCCCAGCCCTTATTTTCACCAAACCAACCAAGAAAATTAGCTCTTTGAAGAGAAAAGAATATTTAACAGGGTTGACTTTAACGTTAAGATTTACCAGTACCTGTCTGTTACTATTGAAAGCATCTTCCATCACTGAAGCCAATCCAATGCACTCAAAGCAATAGTCAGCTCCCCCATCCGTTATTTCCTTGATCACCTGGACATTTATAACAATTCAGGTTTTCTTGTAAACAACTTTTTTTAATTGAATTTAAGTGTTTGGTAATTGGAAACCATCAGGATTTGGTTGTTGAATAAAAGGAATTCTTGTTCAAGTGTTTGGTATGATACATAGTACTAATAGTTTGGCCACTAACCTCGCTGACATTTTTCTCTCCACAGGTTGAGGGGTTGATAAAATCAGTGACTCCAAATTTTTTCCCTGTGACAGAAAAGAGACACTTTCAACAGAAAATGTTGATGCATTTATACTACTTTTGGAACATCATTAAGAAGAATTGTATGATCGATAGATAGCTCTGCTTACCTATCTCAAATTTTTCCGGATTCAAATCTACACCTATGATCTTCGAAGCTCCGCGTAATCTTGCTCCCTCTGCAACCTGATTTGAAAAAAATTTCTGAGTGATTTAGTGTTGCACATTGACATAAATCAAAGAAATACATTGTCCTGGAGGCATTTTCTCGAGGAAATTTGCTAGCATAGAAATAAGCAGATCATGGTTTGGGCAAGGATTGAACAGGAAGGGTGGCACGCAGCCTATAGTCTAATTGGATTTGTACGAGTACCGCAAGTCCAACAGTTCCTAGCCCAAAAATGGCGACTGTGGAGCCCTCTTCAATATCTGCCACCTTCCATGCTGCTCCTATCCCTGCAAACCACATTATTAAACGAGAAAAAGAAATCAGACGTTTGCGCCAATGTCAGTCAGTATTAATTACTGTTCTTGAAGATGAAGAGACCCAAACAACGATTATAAGTCTTTTTTGGCAGACATTTGTCCTTTTTCATTCTACTTGTGAAGGGATTGGACTATCATTGGCCACTGGCCACCTATATCAACCCGGTGGATCTCTTTGTCGAAAAGAAAAGAAAAAATAGGGGCTAGCTCTTTAGTCTTTTCCTTCTTCACTCTAGAGAGAGAAAAAAAATTTCATATTTGAGTTTGGTATATTGAAATTTGACAGGTTGCGTCTAATATAGGGCAGGCACTAAGAGGAAAAGGGCCAGAAAATTCAGTATTGAAGTAGCATTCAGAATTCTAATGATCAAGGTCGTTGAAATTATTTATTTTTCAATGAAAACAGAAACTTTTACTGAACGTTAAATTGATAGATATACGGGCATACCAATATACAAATAATACAATACAATCCTGACGCCCTTAATTAAACAAAGAAGCCTTATTATTGTTTGTTTTCATATCATTGACTTTTTTTGCCCGTGTTAACTTACCAGTTGATACTCCACAGCTAAGCAGGCAGGCTTTATCAACTGCAATTTTCGATGAGATCTTGACAACATGAGCCACATCCACCACTGTATACTCAGAGAAGCTGGACACAGACAAGAAATGGTGCAAAACCTCCCCATTCATCCCCTTGAATCTACTTGTCGCATCCCTTGGCATGTCAGGGTTCAATCTATTACCAAATACTGAGCAACCATTGCCCTTTTGGGACTTGCAGTCCCTGCATTCTCTGCAATTTGGATGAAACACTGGCAGCACCAAATCTCCTTCCTGCACTTCTTCCACATGCTCCCCTACACTCTCAACAACACTTGAACGCCACCAAAAAAAAGGAGAATTACAATCACATCCTTAATATTAAAAAAAATGGCAATGATTTAACTCAGACAAGAGCAGGTAGGATGTGGTTGAATTACCCGACAGCTTCATGCCCAAAAATTGTGGGAAAAATCGCAAATGGTCCCTAGAGGAAAACAATGTATTAATCTTTTTTTGTCTAACATACAGAGAAAAGTGAAAGATTTAGAATGAAAAATAGAGTGGAATTACATTGGACTTTTTCCAGAAGGTGATATCGGAATGGCAAAGAGAAGTGCAGAGAATCTTGATCCGGACCTCCCAAGCTTTAGGTGGCTCAACTTGAATTTCCTCTATAACGAGTGGTTCTCCTGGATTTCTGCTGACAGCAGCTGTTCATATCATGAAAGCATGAAAAATATGAGACAAGGCAAAGAAAAAACAGAGAATCCAGTGATAAAAGACCAATAAACGAAAGAATCTAAAATGATGACCATTATTTAAAGAAGAATAGCAAAAGAACCTTTGCATCTTATAGCTTTCCCAGCAGTCACCAACCTGTTTTGGTTTTGTTGCATATCTTCTTTTTTGAACTATGATCAAGAGAGAGGGGGGAGTTTTCTTGGCTTATTTATCTGCTCTTCTGATCCTTTGCTTCAATTTTTTGGGGTTAGTGCTTAAATATTAATAGTAATAGTACATGAGAAACTAACCATTTTTGGTGGTTAAAATTTTGTTCCATTTCTTCTGCAAATTCCACTGAGAAATGAGAAAACTTTTGACAAATAATAATAATTGATAGGTTCTCTGTTGGTCCATCCTTGTCTGATTCCTACTTTTGACATCCACCAACTATCCACTTGAAGGGTCAAACAACAATAAATGTACTAAAATTATTGCTCCAGATTTTTTCCTTGTTCTCATATAGCTGATAGCGGTGATGCTTATACATATTTCTATAATAGGCATGATTTCAATGGCACATGACTCAACTGTTCACGAGAGCTGGTGCTAGGCGTGGAAAAAGTCTTGCCTTGTCGTCAGCTACATCTGAAACATTGCAAGTGGAGCACCAAATCTCTTACATGGAAAGAGAAGCTCATGATGCACTGACTCTCGGCATTTTGAGCAAATCACAGGCTTTAATTACCAATAACTTGTCGAATATAAATTATAAACAAGACTTTACAACTCCCCTTCTAAAACGTCTTCTTTGATGTAAACTTTCCCAAAGAAAAATATAATTGGAAGAAGCTGACCGGGGTGAAGATGTTATATTTCCTATGAATTTGGTTGGGAAGCCAAGCTGCACCAATCATCTTCCGAAGAATCTGAAAATATACAAATCAGTCTAACTATATAAACAATTTCTTACTTTCTTCATGTACAAATAAAACTAATATCTTCAAATTTGAAAGATGATGTCCTTAAATCACATTCATTGACATTTGTTAGTAAAAGCAGGTTGTCTATCTTTTTCATACCTTAGGAGCAGTGGCAAAGCTCTTGATTGATTAACTGATACAAGTGAACTAAGAAGCATATTATTTATAATTTTTTTATTATAATATTATAATTATTAAATTATAACAAAAATTATGTTCAAATTTATCATTTATAAATATAAATTATATATAAAATTTTGATAAATCTCACAAATTTTAAATTATAATTAATTAATCATGTTACAATTGTTTCAAGTGGAATATTCCCAATGAACTATGCTCAGATGCTTCATAAAACCGCACTGACAAACCCAAGTGAACCAAAAAAGGGCGGAAATTGCGTTGGGTGGAAGAGGATCCAAAAAGGGAGGGCTTGCTCAATTATTAAAATTATATACATTGGTCGACTGAACTTGGGATTTATTGATATGATATTAAAGATGACATTTGAAGATTGTAGATTCAATAAAATTTATTGGTATAATATTTTTTTAATTAAATAAATATAAGATAAATATAAGGATAAAATATTTAAAGGGAGATTAAAAATTAAAATAAATTATTGTTAATTAATATAGAATTACATATCCAAAATAACTAATATTATTTATTTTATATGAATACGAAATGCATATGCGGATTTACATGCATCCACATTTACTCAAGTGAGATCCACACGTAAAAGTTTTGTATAAATATTTTTTTTTTCTAATTTCATTTTTGTTTAGAAAGAAAGAAAGAAAGTAGTAAAAAAACAAAAAGTTAACGATTAAGTTACAAAATAACAGAGAATGATACATAACATCATATCTTTACGTTAGCAGCAAAGCAGTGGGATTTTTCTTAATCTTGAGTCTTAATCATTGTAAAAAATATATCCATTAAATATTTTAATAAATCATCATTTTGGACTAATTCAACATCTTCCAACCAACAAAAAAAATGCAAAAATCATGTATATAAGATATAAAAAAGAAAAACAAATATGTCAAAACATGTGAAGAAATGGTCTTAAATTAGGATAATCATATGATATGTTGACATTTGAACAGTTCATCAATCTGTTTTGTTGCTTTGTTTTTCAAACATTGATATAAATTTCGTTAACATGGGATTTTCGTATATTATTTTTATCATAAATGGTTTTTGGAGATCTCAACTCAATTCTCACCCTACATAAAATAATAATTATTGTAACTTGTAAGATTTAAGAAGTGTGACGAGTAGGGGTGTAATCGAGTCAATACAGTGAGAAGTTCGAACTCGAAGTCGACTCCCAACTCGTGACTTGATACTCGATTCGAATTCGATCGAGTTTTATTTTCTTAGCTCGAGTTCGATTCGTGATCGAATTCGAGTTATTTGAACTCGTTCGATTAAGCTCGAAATATGTAAAAATAAGTTCGATTCTTATACTTCGACAAGAACTTAATTATTTGTACTCGAGTTCGAGCTGAATTCAATATATTTTATTAATTAAAATAATAAAAAAATTTAAATATAAAATTCGATTAGTTTACCGATTATTTACGAATTACTCGAGCTAAGTATAAGAATACTCGAACTCGACTCGATCGATGAGTTCAGCTACTTGAGCTCGAACTCGACTCGATAATAATCGAACCGAATTTGAGTTTTATTCAAATCAAACCTGAATAGCTTATAAATATTAATGTATCATTTTACAAATCTAATGATGCGTGGCTTGAGTGCTTACACTTTTCTTTTCACACTTCCTCTGTCGTTTAGGAGCCCACATGGCCCAACAGTGGCCGGTGAAGAGATTAGTCTAGCTTCATCCCTTCTAAGTAAGTAGAAAAAATATATCATCCGGTGTCCATGAAAATTTTAAATATAATTATTAATATTTTTAAATTTTAGTTATAAAATATAAATAAATAAAATTTCATTAATAAATAGTTTATTAATAAAATTGTATATCCTTTAATACTATGAAAAATAAGTAAGTTATTATAAAATATAAATAAGTTAAAGAGTTGACATATTGCTCTTTAAAGCATAATTAAAAAATAAAAATTAATATGATAAAACACACATAATAAACTTTAAATATTTGTAAAATTTATAAAATTTATTATATATCAATAATAATACAAATACATATATCTATAGATAAAATAGAAAACGACTGTTCAACATTGAAGAGAAATGGACTAACGAGTGACAAGTTAAAAAATTGGTTAGAAATGATAATGCAGCATATATTTATTATTTTTTAGATATTTGTATACAAATTTATTTAATTTTTATATTATTCAAATTCGTTCAATTATTCATTTAAATTTAATATTATTATCAAAATTAGTATCCAATTAAATAAATATTATCCGTTAAATATTTAAATCTATTAAATATTTATTTGCTTAAATTTTTAGTCAAAATATAAATAAACTAGCTTTTTTAAACTCGTACAACGCATGAGATTTTTTATAATTTTAAATTTATTTTTTAATTATTGATCTAATTTATAATTATATATTTATAAATGTTAAGTTACAATTAAATAATAATTTATATATAATATATTATAAATGATACTATTCATCTAAAATAAGTCTAATTTATCAATTTTCAAGAATTATAAAAATCCTTTATTTTTCATAAAAAATATATTTTTAATTTTATTTGCTAAATACTAAAAATTTTGCTACAGCTTTTTTCTTGTTTGATAAAAAATCAAAAATCAATATTTAAATAGTTAAAATTAATAATTATTTTTATCATAATGTTGATTAGGTGTATATATATATATATTTGATTGAACAATAAATCACAATTATTAATTTGATCATAACCATTTTTTTTATTAGTTTTTATTTTTTACACGTAGTTATTACACAAATATATTAGGCTAATAATTATTTTATATATGTCAACAAAATAAAGTTATTTTTTAGATAAAATGAAAACAATGATTCTTTATGTTATATTTAAAAACTTTTTTTCAATATTTTTTTATTTTTAATCATTTTTAATATAATTGATAGTATTTTTTGTGGGTTAGATATGATAGGGATCATCATTCTTCTCATACCATCCATTCTAGACAAATAAATTCAATAATAAAAGGTATAGCAAAAGGAAATAGAGAATATAAATTTACATATTAATTTGTCAAGATTAAAGATATACAATAATAAGAGCAAATATGTTAATAAATTAATAGAGAATAAAAACATTGAAGGAATGTATAAAACAAAAATATATATAATACAAAAAGTTAATTATAATCAATCTAAGCAAAATTTTAAAAAAAAGTTATAGACTGAGGAAAAACAAATAAATTAACCAAATATATAATATAAAAATATTTGAATTAAAATATTAAAAACATTATATTTGTTTTCAAAGTAAAAAAATATTTTTATCTAACTTTTTTTCAACACTTCAAATGTCTCATATTTTTATATAAAGATGTAAGCTCTTATTACTTTAAAAATACATGCTTTATAATCAATAATTTATTAACTTATCTAAAATTATTAAATTTAAATAATCTATTAAATAATTTTCAATCTTTTATAGATTTTGATTTTAATTTAAATAATTATCTAAAAATATTAAATTTAAATATTTTATTAAATAAAATTATTTGACAAAAAATAATATTTTATTAAGTATATATATTTTGAATTGCCATTAAATTAAAAAAAGATAAATTATGATTCAATATATTTGAATTCAAATTTTATGTAAAAATTTAAATCTCAAATAGATTTTGATTTCAATTTAAAAAATTATCCAAAATATTCAATTTAAATAATTTATTAAAAAAATTTATTTGATAAATAAAATAATATAAATATTATCAATGTGTCATTAAAAGAGATTATTCACCTAGGCATTCACATAAGTAATTTTTATCATATAATCTTGTATATTGTAATATAATATATATTAGATAATAATTAAATTTAAAATTTAAGTTTTATTTTTAATTAATAACAAATAAAAATTATTTGTTAAATTTTGAACCTTTACATAAGTATAAAATTTTATATATTTTGTACATATAAACAGATAATTGATTCTGATATCTAATATTATCCAATATAAAGTTTCAATGATCAAATATCGGATAAATAAAAAATACTATCAATAATCTATTTGAATTCATCACAAAAAATAAATTTACTATCTAATAAATCTAATATAATCAAATCCGATAATACCAAATATTCATTTATTTCCTATATATTGACATCCTTACAACTAGTCAAAGACTTCAAGCAAGGATAAGAGTACATGACATGTAAATTTTATACTACTGATTTTATTAAAAGAATTTTAGGTTTAATCTTCTCAGTCTTTATGGTGCTAGGCCCACATCACTCGTCCAACAAGCGCCCACATCACTTGTCCAACAACTAGATAGAACGTTTTGTTGCTATCTGGCTGAGAAGTCAAGGCATTCAATTTGATAATAACATGATTAAGCCGTTAATTATTATTCTAATAGTAGGCATTAACTCGGTTTAATAGTTTTAGTTTTTTTTTTTTTTTACTTTTTTTTTTCAAAAGCTTCACGTATTAGAAAACGATAAAAAAAAAATAAATTCCAATAAGTTTAATTACCAATCTTTCTAAGTGGAAACTCTAGGGAATTTTCTTACTAATCAGTCTTTTTTTTTTTCTTTTAAGTAACAGAATCATGGAGGGAATTTTCCTCCCTCACTGGTAAAATATTTTTGACAATTTGTAGACTATTCTTATTCTTACATTATTAACATTTTTTTTAGTTTGGAGGTGAAAAAGCTTTTTATTGCATTTTTATTAGTTCATCATTAAAATATTATTAAAATAATATTATTTTATATATGTTAATTTTTTAATATATTATAATTTTATATTCTAATTGAATTTATTCATTTATAATCAATTAATTTTAGATTAAATGTTTAACGTAATATTAAAGTCCAAATTCTGTTATCTGATTTTTGACTTAATATCTCTCGTGAGTTTATCATATGATGTGGTGCTATCCATATTTGTTAAATTTGAGATTTATTGTGATATTATATTTAAGTTGAGTCATTTCATTTATAATCAATTAGATTTAAATAGCACTATAGTATTCAACAATATATTTTGATTAATATTTAAACATTTGATTACTGAAATTTTAATTTAAAAGAGTAAAGTATGATTTTTTTTTTTTTTGGAATAAAAAACAAAAGTTTGCGGTATTGTAAAATTCAGTTTGCATCCGAATTTGAAAAGTAAATCGGGTAGCATTTCTTACGAAAGAAGCTTAGTGAAAAATGCCCTTGAAGCTTTTGAAGAAAGGCTGCTTAGTGCTTTGCTTACTCCCCCGGGACTTGAAACAGCAGCCTGCATCCTTTAATAATCAACACAAATTAATGTAAAACAGAGAAAATGTTACCTGAGTATGGACTTATGCCCTGCCTTTGCATCTCAAAAGTGTCCCGCATGATAATTGTTTCACAGATACTTGTCTCCCTTTTTTGTCAGGTTGCTAGCCATATGAAATAAGCGATGCTAACGGGCAAAGGGACTTCTGGTTGAGATTTTAGTGGCTTCCCTTTTTTTTTTTTTGACTGAAATAGTTACTTCCCCTCTTTGAACTTACAGGATTCTTCCAAGTACCATCCATGCAAAAGTTCAATCAAATTCATTGATTCAAATTTACCAATACCATTCAAGTTTGGTCATTTTCTCCTTGAACTGTTCCAAAACTAGCTAGGTTTTTTAGGACGAGTTCTGAGTTCAGCACAACCATTCAAAAATTTTCTCATCTCTTCAAAGAGGAGCTCCCAAACACAAATTTTAAGGCTGGCCTGGTTACTTTGAATCAGGGAAAAGAGGTAAAGAAAATATCACAGAATAATGAGAAAGATTGAGCTGGTGTGGAGTGCGGGGCCGAGAAAAAAATGGGAGAATGGGAGGGTGAGGACAGAGGACGTAAAAAAAAAAAAAAACCTTTTTGCAGCCTTGTTTTTGTGTCTGAAGAAGAATAGGTACGACAGGGAACAAGGGCCACCTTGGATTGAAAATTTGCTGTCCGTTTCACATTCTCTCAACGGAACTTTGACCAGATTCCAAAGTTCCAACAGCAAAAAAGAGGAGCAATTACTTTCCTGGTGGAAAAAACCATAACCCATTAATCACACAATTAAAGAGCTTTCCAAAACCCAATAAAATTCAATTACTGCTTTCTTTTATGCCTCCAAGTTAAGTAAGCATATTTTTTCGTTAGTGTAGTAAATTAGTTGTCAAAAAACAAACGTTTGCGTTAATCAGGTCACATCAGAACCGTTACCAAAGCGCAACAGAGGCGCTGATGGGAGAACTTCCCCAAAGATTTACAAGGAAATGACACTGAAAGTAGTTTATACTGCCATTTTGACTGCGTGCATGGGTTTAAAAATTCAGCCTCCAGGAACACGACGATGAACAGTATTGTCGACGCCTGCCATCACAATCTACTCAAACAGTAACCCAGCTAAGAAGCTAAGTATAGATAGGGGTATGTGTGGCTTCTTTTACGGTTCATGCCCTTTTTTTTTTTCTCCTCTCTTTTTAAAGCCTCGAAAAAACTGGAAGGGAAGAGAGATTAGACAGCTCCACAAAGGCAAAGACCAAGGAGACACAGACAGATTCGTTCTTTTGCAACCTTATTTTAGTCATCTTTTGGTCTGAAAAATAATGTTCAACTACCATTAAAGAAAACCCATCTCCATCTCTTTCACTTTCTGTGGCTTTGTCCTACTCGCCTAATCCCCTTAAGTCTGCCAGTAAGAGGAAGATTTGCCCACCATAAAAACCCAAAGCAATAGCTGCTGTACCACTAAGATTTAGTTTTTGGCTTACATAAACGAATAGATTATTTACATATCTAGAGATAGCTAGAGAAAAGGATTAGTAGTGGGAGGAGGTTCGGGTCCTTTTTTTTGGTTAAAAATGGATAAAAGCTGTCACTCTTCTGGTGACTCTAGCACCAACACGACCAGTAGCTCCAACGCCAACAGCATTAACAATCGAGATCATTACCTTAAACACCTCAACAAGCTTTCGCACAGGATTTCCAAACCCTCCTCCACCCCTAACACCAACGCCCTTCCTTTCATAAAAAAACCTTCCTTTGATCATACCCAGAACCTTACCCAGGCGCTGCCACCTCAGCCATCTAAACCCTCCCAGCCTTGGCCTCAGCATCAGCCTCAGAATTCTAACCAAAGCAATCTACAGGCTCAACAACACCAGCCACCCGTTTACAACATCAACAGAAACGACTTCAGGGATGTCGTACAGAAGCTAACCGGTTCACCCGCACACGAACGGTTCTCTACTCCTCCACCAATCCACCAACCCCGACCACAAAGCTCTCGACTTCAGAGGATCAGACCTCCTCCATTGGCGCACGTTAGCAACCGACCTCCCATGATTAATTGTGCCGTCCCTAATATGAACCCTCCCGGTCGCACTCAACCTAACCCTCCTATCGGTGGTGCCACTGGTAATAGCTTCATTCAAAGGGCACCTGCTGCGGCACCTCTTTCGCCACTCCCGCCATTTCCAGTTGTAGACGCTGCTGCAGAATCGCCGATCTCCGCCTATATGCGATACATCCAAAACTCCATGTCCACCACTGTTGACTCCAATCCAAAGCAATTCTCAGGATTTTCACCATTGGCCCCACTCGTTTCATCCCGTTGGAACAACTTAGCCGCCCCACAACAGCAACCACTGCCGCTACCGCCTTCGCAACAACAGCCACAGCAACAACAACAACAACATCAACTGCCACAGGTATCATCAACGGGGATGATCCAGTCGCACTTACCGTCATCACCACTATCATTCGGGTGCCTGAATTCTCCACAGTCACCGTACGCTTTACTGTCCCCAAGTTTTCTATTTTCTCCAAATTCGGGTCAATTAGGATTCCCGCTTTCACCAACGGTGCCCGTTCCGAGCCCAAAATGGCGAGGTCTTTGATAAGTTTTAATTTCGGGGAAGCCTTCAAAATGGGAAAATATCTGGTGTTAGGGTTTTTATAAATGGTTACGGTTGGTGGAGAATTTTATTCAATTACCAGTGGTTGGATAAAGAAAAAAGTGTCTCACCCTGGTCTGTTAGAATTTAGAAGCTTGTTTCTTTTTTCATTTTTCCTTTTTGTTATGTAAAAACAGAAACTTTAAATTATGTTCTTTTGTTTTTGTTGAAAATTGGGTTGAGAAAAATTTTAAATAGCCAGTTATTTATTAGACATTAGTAGTATTATTAGTATCTTGTGTTTATGACTTTATGTTTTATCTGCTAATCTTAGTTTAGCCATTTATGGGTATGAAATATTCAGTTTTCTGGACAATAATTGGATAAGCTGTTGTTTCTGTTGCTGATTATCAGACATGAATTTATCATAGATTTTAAGTAGGTTGATCAGTTTTTCTTATGAATTGTAAGGGCTCATGATCCCAGTATTTCAAATCCTGAGTGGTTTATTGGATCACTAGGATTTATAACATCTACCTTGTGTTGGTACTGCTTTCTAAGAAAAGAAACATGTTTCCTAACTAATTAGATCTGTAGCAGGAGTTTGATGTTGTAACCAAAGTTTGCAATGTCTGCCAGCCTCCTTAGAATTCTGCTGAATAGATGTCTAATAGCTAAAGAAATTATACCGTGTAGGAGCTAGCTTTAGATTTAAAGCATTTCCTGCTTTTTTGACCAGATTGTCCAACTACTCCTGTAGTGGGGGACAGTTGACTTGACCTCTTCTACAATAGATAGGGGTCAAAATCATCCATGGGAGAGGAATTAATACAAGTTTTGTTGGTTTAATCTGCTTGCCTCGAGTCGTAAGAATCTTCAAAAGAAGTTTGAGCATTTTCCTTATTCAAAGTTGCTAGTGACTTTTTGGCATGGTAACCAGGAAGTAATTATCAGTCGTTGTACTTGTAGTTTTCTCTGCCCTAAAGTTTGACTAAATAATTTGCTCACTTGGCTTTTGCATGGGTTTACATATATAATGCTTCACATCTATCCATCCATCCACAGGTTAGTGATGCAGGTTTTCTACCCCAACTTCGGTATCACGCATTTAATTTGGACTCATTTATCAAAGTGGAAGGAAACAGAACCTGCTGAACTTTGACTATGTCTGTCAATATATATATATATATTGACTTTGTTTGTGAACGAGAGTGGATTTGGACCAATTGGTGCTTCTTACCGTAGTGTTGATAACAATATCCGAATTTGGTCGGATTTTAATTCGACTCAATTCTATAGAATTAGTTTTTTTTTTTTTTAAATTAAATTTTGAATCAAGTTGGATTAAAATTTTTTGAAATAAAATTTGGATCAAGTTTTAGATAAACTTGTTTTGATTTGATTTGATATATATATATATATAATATTTTAATTTTTTATTTAATTATATATATTATATTAATAAAATTATTATATAATATTTTAATTTAAAATATTAATTTAATAAAATATTATATTTATATATAATTAAGATATAATTAATATTATAAATAATATATTATAATTATTATATTAAATTAAAATTATTAAATTAATTTTAAATGAATTCGATTATGATTTTATACATATTGGATTGAATTGAATATCAAAAAATAATATTTATTTTATAAAATGGAATCGACTCTGGCTATCACTATTCCTACCAGGCTGAGGACTTTTCTTCGAGTTGAGGCTGCTCTGAGGCTAAGCCTTCTTTACTGTGGGTTCTGTGCTGACCTTCAAAAAGTGGTTTTGGTCTTGGATATGGTTTTTAACAATTCTCTTTCAGGGAGTGGTGAATTTTGAGGCCAGCAAGAACTTAGTATTAACTAATTCTTGCTTTAATTCATTTCTTTGACAAGCTTAGTGGTTCTTTAGCATATGAACAGTGACTTCATTTACTGCTATAATTCATAAAGTAATACATTTGAATAGTTTCAAAGGGTAGAACCCTAGAAGGAAGTTCGTGCTGCAACGATTTCAAAGGGTAAAAAGAATGATGCTTTTCATGTGCCAGCCAAAACATTTTTACGAAGGAAATGAAAAACAGTCGTTCGTGGAGTTTTGGTTCGGATGGCCGAAGTAGATCCTTCGGATGTAGAGAATTTTTAAAGGTTTGTTTGAAGGTAGCTGAACTTTCTAGCCTATAAATAAAAAAAAAAGTCAGCCCAAAATAGAGGCCCATATCTAGCCACCTTATAGCCCAGTAGCCCACTTAGTCCCCCCCCCCGCCCACAATAAAAGCGGGCCGAGCAGCTTCTGAATTTTTTTATCCCCGACAGCTCTCATAAACCTGGCTTAGCCCGCGTGGGGTCAATATCTTTGCTCCTTTTTACCGCAGCAGTAAAACAGTTAAAACCGCGCAAATTCTAACCTTACTAATATCTCCCTGTCCGTCTCGCCATATTATGAAGTATCCCTGGTTTGGCCGCCCCTATAGAACTCGCCGCCAGCAGCTCTTGGAAAAAAAACAAGGAAAGAAAGAAACTGCCGATCGCCTTCTCTTCCGGTAATGGCGGAAGTTCAAACCGAAAAACCCCCTTCCCTATCTGAGGTGCCTTTTTTACTCTCTCTGATTTATAATTTATTTTCAAATATCGGAAAACAATAATTGTAGTTTATTTTAATCCTTGTAGAAATGGCGAAGTTCGATCTACGTTGCTTTTTTTTTTTTTTTTTACAATTTCTGGACTTTTTTGGATCTTCAATTTTGATATTTAGAAGTTTAATTGGATTGAAATTAAACGATCTGACCCCGTAATGCTGGATATTACTGCTGAAATTAGACATTTCTGAAGAGTTTATTTAATGGCTTCAGCATATCAGCTTTTTGAAATGGTGCTTTTGATTAAAATTTTTTATTTTCTATGCTCGTTACCAAATATAATTAACGTCCAATTTCCTTGAGTTTCATCATGAACATGATTAACGTAATCTGTTGCAGCTTTTTTTTTTTTTTTTCTAAATTAACTCAATGAAGTTTCTCTATGATTTGCCTTAAGATTCTACCAATCTGAGTTTGCTATATGCAATGTTGACATGTGGAGGGTCTTCATTTTTTACGGTTAACAAAATGTAACATTTTGAGCAGAAGTTTTTTGTGTTTTTCTCTACTTGTGGTGCTTAATCGAACAACTAATCCTAAAATATGGATCAAATGAAATTTCGGAGCAAACTTTTCGGTTGCTTAAACACCTGAGCTTTTCACTTAAGAGCAGTTTTTTATTGTCACTGGTCTTGCGGTCATGTCAATTCATACAGTAGTGTATGTGTGAAAATTGCCGTTTAGGAACAAAAAGCAAATTCATTTATAAGTATATTGTATGAACAATAATGCTCATCAATATTTCAGATTGATGAATTGGGCTTTCTTTCATCTTCTTTCAATGCTTGTTGTTCCTTATTGAACATACCGTTCATGCTTAAATTTATCTAAGATGCCACCTTGTTTGAAAAGTTTTGTTATTGATAACTTTCAAAGAAATTCCTAAATCTAATGCTTGTAAAACCTTTTGTATAGCTGAGCTGGTACTAAGTTCTCTGACACTGTATGTGTGTGGACTGTAGGGGTAGTTATTTGACCTGATTATGCTGGAAACTTATTTATTATTTTCTTGAATATTTGGACATGTAGCAATATGCTCTGAAGGAGAAAGAGGAGAAATCAGATGTGGCTACAAAACCAGCGGAAGCAAAAGTGTTTGAAAATCCAGTGAATGCTGCTTCTGGGCAAGTTGTCACTGAGAAAGTGGAGGAGACTCCTGCTGCTCCAGTTGAGGAAATCACTGAGGCCCCTCCTGCTGCTGCTGAAGAAAGCACTGAAGCCAAGCCTGCTGCTGAGAACAGTCGTGAAGATGCTCCAGCTGCTACTGAGGAAGGTAGTGAAACTACTACAGAGGAGAACTCGGGTGATGCAGAAGAAACACCAGAGATAAAGGTTACCCTGCTGAACATGTTTATCAAGAACTTCATCTCTGCTACCCCCAGATTTCTTTCTGTGTATATGAAACTCATCTTTTTGTGTTAGATTGCTTTACTAACATGCTGTGGTGCATGTTTGATTTGATATTCAGCTGGAGACTGCACCAGCAGATTTTCGCTTTCCAACTACAAACCAAACAAGGCATTGCTTCACACGATACATTGAGTACCATCGGTGAGTTAAACTTTGTTTATGGATTATTTTGTATCTTACAAAGGCATTAAGGTTTTTTTCTGCTAGCAATGCTTCTTGACATGTCCTTGTCCTTTTGTCTTATATAGTTGTGTAGCTGCAAAAGGAGAAGATGCTCCAGAGTGCGATAAGTTTGCCAAGTATTATCGTGCCCTATGTCCTGGAGAATGGGTGTGTATTTTCTCCTAAGAACCATAATATGCTTCACTTCATCTTAATCACTTGCATAAGGGTCTTAACTGTTACTAGATAGTTGCTGTTTGTTGCTCTTATTACATTTGTAAATCAGGTAGTGCCTTATGACCCCGTATTTTTTTGAGGTGTTGCTAAGTTAAATCTAAAATCTTAATACTAGTTACAGATGATCTGACATTGAAGGGCTGTCAAATTGGAGTTTGAGTGAATTAGTTTAATTTTTTTTTGTATGTTTTGATGGATTCAAGTGCCAGAAAGTCCATATGGATGGCGTAAAGAGATACCACTGCTGTTAAAACCAATATGAAATCTGCCCACTTGTCTTCTGGTAGTGGGCTTAGGCTCGAGAAAGATTTCTTTTAGGGTTTGTATTTGGAGGAAAGAGAATAGCTTAGGCTTTTTTACTTGGATACAAGAATGAAAGCATGAAAGGTGCAGGCATAGACCCATTTGGGCTGCCAGCAGTGAAGAACATGTTGAAGGGCATTGCTTTTATCAAGAATTTAGGGTTTATTGGGCAAAATAAGCTAACAATTACTCTTTTGTTTTTCAGATAGACAGATGGAATGAACAAAGGGAGAATGGTACTTTTCCGGGTCCTCTGTAGATAGTAACTATCAGAAAACCTTGTGGTTTTCATTTGCTATATCACCAGTTAACTACTGGTAAATTCTTGAATGAAAAAGGAGAATTTTCAGGATAAGATAATAAGAAATTTTGGCATGTATGGTAGACTAGATCAAGGATGATACAATGTGTTGCTCATAAGGGGGAGCTATTGCTCATCAGTTCCATGATGAAGCCCATTTTTTTTTCCTTTTTAATTTTTTTCGCTGCAACTCTCAATTAGTTGCAGGATATTGCGGTAAACCATACTTTAATAAAAGAACATGCAACTTTGTGATGATCTCTTAACTCAGTAACTCGGCCTTACAGTGCGTGCGTGTGTTTGTTAGTTGTATATTATTGTCGCAACTATAACGATGATACAGAAACCAAAAGTTTCCAGTGATGCGTCACTATAACCATGCGACTGACAAGGGATTTGACCGTCAAAGTTTTTATTTTTAAAGTTTCCTCTAGCGATATCAAGGACAGATGAAACCGATTTGACCACGAGAAGGCAGAATTTATCAAACAAAAACTATATTTAGCTTGAACGTTTTACGGCATCCAGCTACGACTAAAACCTAAATGAATACAAATCAAAGTCTAATTATGAGAGTATTACAGCATCTGATTTCGATGAATCCATACTTGAAAGAAGGAAAATCATAGAAATGCAAATACCCTAAGAACAACAAATCAGCCGACTACTACATTCAAAAGCAACAATCAGGGTTTCGAGAAAGTGAATTTAAGCCCTTTCACCACGAATCCTCCTGGCAAGTTGAATGTCTTTGGGCATGATTGTAACACGTTTAGCATGGATGGCGCAGAGGTTGGTATCTTCAAATAATCCAACGAGGTATGCCTCTGCTGCCTCTTGCAACGCCAGCACTGCATGACTCTGGAACCGAAGATCAGTCTGCAAACCACAAAAGACCAAAGTCAAAAAACACCCATAAATCAAAAAAATATATAATTTCCAATTTTGATTCAAAAATTAGTAGTGGTAGCATTACCTTAAAGTCCTGGGCAATTTCACGCACAAGCCTTTGGAAAGGCAGTTTCCTGATGAGAAGTTCGGTACTTTTCTGGTACTTGCGGATTTCACTACATCCAATGGGGGATCTCAAATCAAATTCGTGTAAAAGAAATAGAAAATTTACAAAAAAGAAAGGAACGTGATTGGATGACTAACCGAAGAGCAACAGTTCCAGGCCGATATCTGTGAGGCTTCTTCACACCTCCAGTTGTAGGTGCCGACTTGCGAGCAGCCTGAGAAAACAAAATAGAAAAAGATAAAAAAAAAAAAAGAAAGGATTTTTAAACCAAAAGAACAGACGAATTACAAAATCGGATAATTGAAGACAAAAGATAACCTTAGTGGCAAGCTGTTTCCTTGGAGCCTTGCCGCCGGTAGACTTACGGGCAGTTTGCTTCGTACGGGCCATCTATACTGACCACATCAAATCAAATACAATTAAATTCCCAAACGAAAAAGAAAAGAAAAGAAATTCTCCAAATTTTACAAAATTTCTTCACAAAACTTAAAAGAATCGACGGAGAACTAGAAAGAACTCTTAAAACCTGGAAACTTAAAGGCTTACCTCAAATTTCTATTCTTTAGAAAACGAAAGGGAAAGACGAAAAGGAGCTTTGGAGAAGCGAGAAAGGTCTTTGATACAACTCGCAAACTTCAAGGCAAGAATCTGTTACAAAGGGTAACGAATGAAAAGTCGTACACTTATTGATAGGCGACGAACGCGGACAAGAAAACGTGACTGATTCACTTTTGGTTTGTTATATCGTTCGTAATCGGACGGTTAAAAGTTCCGTCTGCCGTGTTTCTTTGAGCCTCGGTGAACGGCCTAGATGGCCATTTTAAGGATTTCTCCTGGATCAACGCGGAGATATACTCGCTTCCTATTGGTCCACAAAGATGACCCTGACGGCTTTTGCCCAACAACTTCGCCTCGCCGCGCCGACATCCTCCTACGACGCCGTTCTACACCTCTAAGTGGAATAGCAAAAATGGCGGCCGAAACGACGCCGTTGATCCCTTTCTTATAGAATAGAATCCATTTCCGCTGGACAGTTTAACACGTGTTTGGACATTATTGGTCAAATTAACTTAAATGTTAAAATTACATCCGTTTTTTTTTCTTAAAAACAAAAAAGCTAACTTTAGTCACACTAAGGCGAATGGCATGGCGTTACAGTTTTGTTTAAGCGGGACGACAATCCAATCCGTAACGACGGCGAATATTTCAGTCTAATCTTCTTCGTCACTCCTCATTTTTCGACCGCTTCCCAAAACCCTAAACCTCGCTTTATTTTCCCGACGCAGCCCTCCAAAAGCCCCTCCCTTTACTCTTTTCATTAGAGACCTTTCAGCCCCGGCTTTGACTGCCGCTCTAGCCACAGAAATCTTCGATAATAAAGGTAATTACATTAAATTATTGATCTTTTTTTTTTTTAAATTGCTATTGCTGATAGTTTAAATTTTCTTTATAGTTGTAAAGCCGCAATGGAAGGCGGCGATAGATTTCAAGTGGATAAGGGATAATAAAGAAGCGGTTGCTGTTAATATTAAGAATAGGAATTCGAATGCAAATTTGGAGCTTGTTCTTGAACTTTACGACAAAATGTTGAATTTTCGAAAGGTTAATTTTTTTCGTTTTCTGCTTTTTTGATCTTTAAAATAAATGCAATAATCTGAAATTTTTCTTAAAAAATACAATACTTAGCTAATTGTTGCTGGCAGATTGCAGCAAGTTGAGCGGCTTCGAGGGGAAAGGAATACAGTTGCAAACAAGATGAACGGCAAATTGGAAACTTCTGAGCGTCAAAGGCTCATAGAAGAAGGTATTGCTCGAGTGTTTTGCTGTCGTTTTTGGGGTCTAATCGTTTTGGTTTTGAGAATGTGTATTTTCTCCCTTTTTTGATTCAGGAAAGAAGCACGTATGCTTTTGGAAGAAGAACTTATCAAATTAAGAGATGAACTTCAGCTTGACGCACAATGTATCCCAAATATGACTCATCCGGATGTTCCAATTGGAGGGGAAGAGAGTTCAAAGTTAAGGAATACGGTATCATCATATATTGCTTTGATTAGTTTCTTGTGTTCTTAATCATTATATGTCATTCTTCTGGTGTTTTCATAGAGGTTTGATGTTCAATTTGTATTATTGTATAGGTTGTTAGTCGCCGTAAATTTGACTTCCTTGTGAAAGATCAACTTCAAATTGGAAAGGAGCTAGATCTCTTTGATTTTGATGCTGCTGCAGAAGTATTCCTTCTGTTTGCTCTAGGGAATTAAAGAATCTCTAATTTGTTGATGTGTTGCATTAAATTTTGTTGTTGTTTAACCATGATTTTAGTTGTTTAGTTGCTTTCATTACCCAAGACCAATTTAGTCAGCTTGATCTTCTGTAGTTTATGACTGCACTATATTCAATTAGATAATCAAAATACTGAACTGAGATGCCCCTTGAAACTCACGTCTCGCATTGTAATATGAAATTTGTAGGTGTATAATGTTGCACTGGAGTTTCTAAACTCTGCAACTTTTACAGAACCTTGTTATATTAAGAAAAAAATTCTTTACTTCTTATCAATGTTAGATTGTATACCAAATTTCAGCCTTGAAGCATATATTGACTTTCAAATGACAAGGTTGCTAAGGTTTATTTATACCGGTTTTTGTTCAGGTAAGTGGTTCAAATTTTACTTCCTGGAGAATGAAGCAGTGATGCTGGAAATTAGCCTCATCAACTGGACAATGACAGAAGTTATGAAAAGGGGCTTTACACGATTGACAACACCAGAAATTGTGAGGTCATCTGTTGTTGAAAAATGTGGCTTCCAACCTCATGGAAAAAATACGCAGGTTTGCATATATTTTGGTTGTAGTCCCCTTTCTGCAAAATAAGCGGTACTTGGTGTATCAAATATCAAGTTCCTCTAACACCTTCAGATAAGAAGAAGGGTGTTATTTTGGCACAAATCACCATTCAAAGCTGATGACAAACTCAGTGAACCACTTTGATTATGAACTGAATCACTAGCTTGGTCATTGCAACCATTTGCTCAAATTGAGTGCTTCTCGCTTTTTCATTCTTTTTGAATCTTCACATGCTTAATGTTTCTGATATCAGAATACTTAGGTAGTGTTTGGTTCCAGAAAACAAAGCCATTTTCTATTTTCATTTTCTTGAAAAATGAAAAACATAAGTAAAAACATATTTGATAATTGAAAATGAAACAATTTTAGAAAACAAAATAAAAATGGGTTGAAATATGAAAACGAAAAAAAAAAAAAGATGTTTTCAATTGTGAAAACAAGGGATGCACATTAATTTTTCCTTATGTTTTGCAAGTTACCATATTTGAACACTTTTTAATATCATTGGTTAATAAATATATATTATATTTATAATTAGATGCCATTAATGGAAATATCATTGAATATTTTTTTTCTTTCCTTATTTTTGCATTTTTAGAAAATAATTTTTATTTTCGTTTACCAAATACATTTTTTAAAAAAATAAATGAAAACTTTTTTTTAAAAATGAAAATAAAAAATATTTTTTCAATCCAAACAGAGTCTTAATTTCTCCAAAGAGACTCTTTCAAAGTTAGGAATGTCATGTTAATTTAATTAGGATTTCTGTGGTTTCTTGATATTATTTTAAATGCTAAACAGGTTTATTCCATTGAGAACAGTGACCAGTGTCTCATTGGCACTGCAGAAATTCCTGTCGGGGGAATCCATATGGATTCTATTGTTGCTGAGTCGTCTTTACCCCTAAAATGTGTGGCATTTTCCCATTGTTTTCATATTGAGGCTGGTGCTGCTGGCACAGCAACAAGGTGATTAGCTACCTTATGTTTCATTTTTATTTTACCCATGTCCCCCTATATTTCCTGTATTTGGGGTAATTATGAAGAATGTTCTTAAGACACTGAAAAATCTAATGTTCGTAATGAACTTTACTGGTGTCAATTTTTCCCAGGGGTCTTTATAGAGCACATCAATTCAGCAAGGTGGAAATGTTTAATTTATGCAGACCAGAGAAGAGTGATTTGTACCATTAGAAGCTTATTAAAATTGACGAAGACCTCTTTCAATCTCTAGGATTGCATTTTAAGTATGGACTCTCTTTATCCTTTACTAACCTACTGGTTTTGTTCTGTTATTTGTTAAAATCTTTGCTTTCTTGGCAGAACTTTAGATATGGCTACAGGGGACCTGGGTGCACCTGCTTATTGTAAATTCGATGTGGAGGCTTGGATGCCCGGTTTAGAACGCTATGGTGAGGTATTGAAATAACCATTTCTGCTTCCATATGGCAAGTTCAATTTCTATCAATTTTACAGGCTATGATTTTTTTGCTTTTGCCTTATATTATGAAATAGCATTGAACCTTAGGTATAGCACATTTTTGTGACCAGATATCAAGTGCATCAAACTGCACTGACTATCAAAGCTGCCGACTGGGAATTCGGTATCGTCCATCGGAACCATCCTTAACAACTTTCAATAAGGGTAAAGCCAGCCTTGCTACAACCAAATTTGTTCATACATTAAATGCAACAGCATTTGCAGTTCTAAGGATGCTTGTATGTTTGCTGGAGAATTTTCAACAAGAAGATGGCTCTGTAATTATTCCATACCCATTAAGGCCATTCATGGGTGGCATTGAACTTATATCTCCAAAATGTAGATAAAAAGGGATTCGTGGTAAACTCGTACTCTCATCAGGATATTTTCCACGAGTCTAGACATATGTAGTCTCTGAAAATAGAGCGACTGACACTTTAGAAAGTTTTGTTCAAAGAAAAGATATGGACAGTAAATCTAGGTGGAAAAACAGAGGAGTTTATTTTTCCAAGAATTTGAGATGGATTTATACTTCAGAGGTTTTGTTCATTTTGGTTAGTTACTGATGGTTGAGGTTTGAACGTTAGCACCGTGAGACATGAGTTGCTCTAATCAAATTGTTGAAACAGCTTGTTGAGGTTGCACAGTCAACAAGCTGGCTGACATGTGTGAGCTAATTTTGAGTTTGATTTAGCAATTGTATCTTTTAAATTTCCATGGTTTAGTGTGTAATCTTGAGTAAGATACAGTTTTCTTCATTTACTGCTAATATTTAATAAAATGAGAAAAAGTATACATAAAGGTCAAAGATAAATGGTAATGATATAAAGAACAGAAGAATAATGGAATTCGTGAAATCTCACTCTCTTGGTTGAATCGCTTTGGATTAGGCCTTCCTTGATCTTGATGAGTTAAAAACTAGGTCAGAGATATGGCAAACTGCTGTTCCAGCAAGTGAAAGCCAAAAGGTTATTGAACTGACAAATTACAACAAACGTGTTTCGGCTTACCTGTTACGTGATGGATACGGTTGAAAAGGATATTACAAGTTGGAAAATTTGTGGTCGGAGTGACAACCAGGCAGGTTCATACACTTCTCCTGATAACTTCTTGTTGCTTCAGCCTATAATTTGAGTTTGCTCAATTCAATCTTTTGGACTGGATATGTGTATACCCCATAATTAATTTGCTGGCCCAAGCAACCTATCTTTGTGAGTGTAGTTATCGGATCAACCTGGAATAGAATCAATTTTTAACCAAGATCCGGAATTAATTTATAATAATATAAAGGAAAAATGTTATTGTATTCTCATAAACTTAACCTCGGTGAACCCCCTGCTTAATGTTAACAGGAAGTAATCCTAATTTTCCATTTCAAGGATTTCTTCCAACTTTGCAATAGAAAAGGAGAAATAATGAACTAACCTAATAATCTGTCTGAGATACTGTTTCTCGGCTATGTTGGTATTTTTTAACCCAGGGAGAAA